TCCTGAGGTTCATCTGCCGGGGCCAAGCACGCTTGGACGGTGGCAGCGAGGTCCTCAGGACGTAGATGGATTGCCTTACAGGGCTAGCGAGCTCCATCTGCCCGGGGAGTGTCCTAACCGGGAATCGAACCCAGATCTCAGCGTTGACAACGCTGTGGTTTAGCCACTGCACCACCAGGGACACTCATCATGCTGAAGATTAGTATTAGAATAAACACTTTAAAGTTTAGAAGAGCAAATATCAGCTCTCTCAGGGCTAAATTGTGAGGGATTTCATGGGAAGCTTCCACGAGGGAGCTAGTGAGTGCTGGGAGCTTTTCTAAACTCTCTTCCTGGAAGAACAAAAACAGTTCAACCACTTTTAAAGGTAGGGAAGTAGGCAGAGCAAGAGACCACCTTGGCTTAACCGTGAGCTGCTAAGTGAGCTCAAAAGAGAAGCATCCCAGAGTTGGAAAAGCAGACAAAAACCTGTGAGAACTACAAGGGCACTGCCAGGGTGTGCAGAAATGCAGACAGAAAAGCAGAAGCTGAGCTCACATAAAAATTGGCCAGACACATAAAAAACAACAAGAAAGGGACAATTAATAGACGCAGACTGGAAATTACACATAGATCCTCAGTCAGCCATTCAAAAACAACCCTCCAATAGGACTAATGGGATGACAATCAGACTACTTTTAATATGGACGCTTGATCAATTTGTGTTAATTTGATCAAATAAAATCATACCCAAAGCTACCAATCAAACTGGTTGAAAATCAGAAGTTTTTTCTACAAGTAAGGAATTCTGGTTTTCTGTTTGTATTCACTGCAGTCAGGGGTCCTCCTGACTTTTTCTTTTTGTTTTTGGTTTTGCTTCCTCTCAGACGCACCATTCCCACTACCACACAATCTTACTGAAAAATGCATCTTAAATGTGGATTTAAATTAGCATGCAGTGTGGACAGCTCGGAAGTTCTACAAATATGCTGGGATCCTGATTCCTTCCTGACTTAGCAATGTTTCACTTCCAGTTTTTAAAAAATAAACAGTGTGAGATTGAAGACAACAAATTAAGAAGTTTGTAAGTTCTGTTTTCCAAAAATTCAATCAATGGTTGCACACAAGAGCAGTCTTATATTGTGTACTGAGAATCACTTGTTTGGTGAGAAAACTTCATGCACAACTTAATTTCTCAGGTCCATGTCAGTTGCTTTCACAAATCCTTTTGGAGGTTTTTAGACTAGATTTTATGAGATGCTAATGATTGCACTCCACTCTAACTAGGTCTGTGGCCTGGCTAAGCTTCTCACTGCAAGCACCCTTCCATGGGTCCCGGCTCTGGGCAGGCTGCAGTCACCAGGCATAGTGCAGTTGGCCGCTTTGGCACTCGCTGCCCTGCCCTACAGGTACCAGGGGCCCAGCAGAAAGGTGCTGCTCCAAGGGACAATGATTTCTCCAGAAAAAATGGAAAGACACTGGAGAGAAAAAGCACAGCTGCCAGATGGAACCACCCCCTCCATGTATTACAGACATCACTCTTCTCTGCAACACAGAAGAAAGGTGACTCTCGCAATTGCTCATCAAACTACCACCTATTCTTTAAAAAATTTTATTTTACCTTGAATGTCAAGCATATTACCAGTTTCTGATAGTAGGACAACAGAAAAACAACAAATTAGAAGAAGTCACTTATGAAACGTCAGTTAAGTTCAATACAGGACTCTGCCTTAATTTAAGAAATGGATTTTAAATTGTCATGGGAACTGTGGTTTTGCTCTTTATGTAAAAGCAAGCAATACAACTCAATAGCGAAGCTTAAAATGAAAATTACACACAGCTTGCTTAAAATGAAAAAGGAAACAGCATAACAAACATTGCAGCTGGTCAGCCACCAGCTAGACCTTTCTCCTTGTAAACCTGCTTCTTCAATTTGGCAATACAGTCCTTGAGGAGAAACAGCAAAGGGTATATAACTTAATACTTCATTACACGGAACCTTTACATTGGGGTTGTGCAAACACTTTGATCTTTAATTTTGTCAAGTCATAGCTACTGTATCACAGCCAGCTGTATCAGTCTTTTGTCCTTTTTTTTTTTATTTTTAATGCTATTTTCATGTAAGTTGAATCACCCACATGGAACCTTTAAACCTTTAGTGGCTGACAGTACCATCTTCAATAAAACCTTGACCCTTGAATGAGTAGTTCTACCCTTGCATTTCACCTTAGTTTTAAGCAGAGTTGCATGGCAAAATAGGTGATATTTCTTCCATGAATATCCAAATATTTATCTTAATTTATAAGAATCTGATATATGCTTTTGCTCACAGAACAGCTGGAGCTATGACATATGAAATGCACACGAGCCAGTGAAATTCACACACATATGAAGTCAAAACCAGCCACATTCTTTCAAAATCAAATACTGTGTATGTTGGCTGCATGTGAAAAATTTCACAGTAATTTTTACCTGGCCAATGCCATTTAAGATCTAATCCTGCTCCCAGTGGTGTTTCCAGCAATTTTGCAAAAGACTTCAGTGGTAAAAGGAGAATGATAGGACACTTAAATACTATCATAGTTATTTCCTATTAAAACTAATGATATCTTCAAAAACAGTTGATATTCAACCAGTGCAAGGTATAAAAAAAAGTCATTGGAGTTTTGGAGTTTCTTGTCTAAAGGAATGTATAACCTTTGGGTTCATTATTTATAATGTTTATAATGTTTCTAATGTCAGAGGTACTTTTGTTCCTGTTTATTGGATTATTGCTGGTCACCTTCCTGAGATTTGAAAGACCATAGAA